TCGATGCAAATAGATGCTCTGATCAGGCTAGGATACTGTAGCTAACGAATGCCTCCCTTTTGTATTATCACGGTCGGTGAATCATACCAGTAAGAATGTGCTAGTAACGTTTGATATGTGGAAATTTGTGTGTTTGTATATAGGCAGATGTTGACCTATGTAGAAGAATCCCCCTCCCCGAGATCGACTATAGAATACAGGTAAGTACATATTACGGCTGTACAGTAAAGGTATATAGAGACGTTTAATAGTGGCCGTAGTTAGTTGTACAGGGTATCATAGTTGGACTACTGAGAGTACCATGGTTGCAGCATTGTTGTGTATAACGTACTTCCTAATTAGATTACCCGGAACATCAGACTGGCTATAGTTAACACAATCTGTCGGATTCTTCCCACGAGTGAACATTCTTCTGTTTTTATTCCCACACACCCTCTCTCTCTCTCTCTCTCTCTCTCTCCTCCTCGCTCTCCTCCTCCCGCTCTCTCTCTCTCCTCTCTGTTCTCTCCTTCTCCTTCCTCTCTTCCTTTCCTGAAAATGAAAATCCATTTTGGCCTCTCTCTCAAGCGTATGCACTTCGCTGATTACGGTGCACTGTCAATATCTGTAGATGCAGTGTAGCACAATACGATGGGTGGGAGACATTTTTGGGACATTTGCCACCTCTTGTGTGGCTGTAAACATAAACATATGATAATCCACGAGGAAAAATAGGTTTTAGAAATCACAATTGCCTTAACAGGGGGTGGTTGGGAGTTTGCTTTTTCATGTTTCCCTTTGCCCCCCTATGTAAACACACACGCGCCAGCAGTATTTCGCTGCACACTCGTGCACAAAGCTGTATAATTATACACGTCTTTGTTTTTCCACCAACAGCAAGTCGATGCTAAGACCGTCAGAGAGGTGTGCGTTCGCTACCTCTACGATCGCTGCCCTGCAGTTGTTGGCATTGGTGAGTTCACGTAACGTATTATAATTGGTCTTTGGTTTTCTAAAAGAAGCTCTTTACTCTACTATAGTGTGTGTTTGCCATTGTGTAAGAGTACAACTCTAGTATTAGAGTATGCACACACATTGCTTTGTACTGAAGATGATAGCAATACAAAGGAACCCCTCTAATCCAGGGACAGAAGAATGTGTCCACTCTAATGATGTGTCCCCCTTATGTCGTCCTTATGTCTGGGGCTAAAATTGCATGCAACAACTGTTCTTGGGAGTGGATAGGTGTGCAAAAACAATATTAGCGAGGTGTCCTCACTGTTGGGGGGGGTGTCCTTGGAGAGAGTTTCCACCCTAGTCAAGGCCGTGGTATATATAGGGGTGTGGGTGAGTACAAAGGTAGGTGGGTGGCTGAGTGACTTTCTGTCTGTCTGTCCCAGTGTTCATAGTGGCTCCCCACACTGAGTGAGTGAGGTATTGTGTAGTGGATCCCCTTTTCCTGTGAGCGTGTTCCGTCAGCTTCAAGACCACCATTATACTGTTTGAAGGTTGTGATGGGATGCTATGTAGCTAAAAGGGCCTTTCCTTTACTACTCTTCCTCCTTCTCCTTACTCCCTCTTTCTCGTCCCATCTCTCCCCTCATCTCTTCCCCCCACATACAGGTCCCGTAGAACAGCTACAGCTTGCGGACTACAACAGAATCAGGAGCAATATGTGGTGGATGAGGACGTGAGACACCGCGACAGGGAGTCTATAGTCTCACCGTCACACGCAGTCGCCCGGACTTCCACCTCTGTTTGTAGCTCATGCATCATTATATAGGCTAGCAACGAGTTGTGTATTATTATAATAAGCATAATTTATTCCTGGTGTCTGTATTGTTGAGGGCCGATTATGAATGCTATAATAGGTGGAGGTTATATCTGTGTTATGACTGTGTATTGCTATGCTTGGGTGGTTGTGGTGTGTATGTATATATATACATATATGTACAGACCGTCTCAGACAAACAGGGGGCGAGTAAGTAAGTAGCTAGGCTTGGGGGTGGGTTTGCATTTGGCCCTGTTGGGCTTTCTGCTGTCAAATGTTGCCAACAAAAGTGTATAGTTGGGAAAAAGCCTCATGCTTCATCAGGTTCAATTACATGGCTATTTCTTGGTGGACTTGTGCTTGCCAACCTTCTCATTTCACTCGTGGGTATATATATATACATTATCTGAGGTATAATGAAGGGAGCTATCCGTGTCAGCGCATGCATGCTTACATTAAATATGAAATTTAGACCGAGTATACAGATTAAACGTAAGATGCTTATCTGCATTACATGTGAAGTGTCCAGGTTCCTCAATGATACAAGGAAAGGATGGATATGCAGTGGAACCTCTTATATAATGGGACACTCTGTATAAGGGAACCTCCTATTTATCCACTGTAATTATATATCCACAAAGGGTATTATATAACTTTTGTGTAAGATGACAAATTGTGATGGTTCCAGTGTAGCCTAATTTGAGTTCACCACGACGACGCGCCATTCGCTATTGTCGCTTTGAAACAGTCCTTGCGTTGTGCGGTGTAAAAATATTATACAGCATGGTATATTATATAATGCACACAAGAAGTGACTGAGTGGTGTCCTAACAGTATAATACCAACTTGTATTCTATCATGTAGACCAACAAACATACAAAAACACCATATTCCGGTACTATGACACACACACGCACACACAATCTGGGGGCATAAAACACATTCTGCATAGCCCGCAGGGACAACGAGGACAACGAAATGGTGGCACGATCGAATTCTCTCTAAAGTAAAATGCAGCCTTTTCTTATCTTGCTGCGCTTGGCAAGAGCTGCGCGAGTCGCTGCGTCGAAAACTTCCCGAACTCCCTCCCGTGTCTTTGCGGAGCACTCCAGGTAGGCGTACGCTCCGACCTTCTCTGACATCGTCCGGCCTTGCTCCGTGCGGATTATCTCGAGCTTGTCGTGAGCCATTGAAGATTTGGTGGCCGGGTCGTTTCGCAAGTCTTTCTTGGTGGCAATCAGGAGGAATGGAACGTTGGGGCAGAAATGTTGGACTTCGGGGACCCACTTTGCGTGGATGTTTTCGAGGCTGTCGGGCAGATCGACTGCGAAACACATGAGAATGACGTCTGTGTCGGGGTAAGAGAGGGGACGCAGGCGATCGTAGTCTTCCTGGCCTGAGGGAGGCAGAGAGGAGGAGAGATGAGGGAGGCGGAGAGAGAGAGGGAAGAGAGAAGAGAAAGTGGAAGGAAGGGGAGAGAAAGGACGAGAGATAATCAAGTGCTGGTGAATTGTGAAAGCTACACAGTTGTCAGGTGGATGTAGGAAGCAACCACGGTAACTTGGAACCTGCCTATGGCAATCACCATGCACTCAACGTGAAGAGAGGCAGCTTACATAAGACCCCATACTCATTAGTTTCTCTGCTGGACCTTTCATGCATTAAACCACTGTAGATATACAGCACGGTGTGTGGATAAAATAGCCTGCATGTAGCGGCGGGCGCTGCTGTGAAGGGCCCACGTCTGGTAGGGCTGAAAATACTCTCATTCATCGGTCAATGGGCTGGAAAGTGTCCTGATTTGTTAGCCGTACTCGACACAATGGGTGGGTACATTACGGCAGTACGTGGGGGAGAAGCAAAGACTATTCAAACGATCTAAACCTGCTCATGTGCGACGCAACGCCCATTTCCTTACCGAGAAACCTCAAAAGCAGAATTGAGCCCGCTCTCCATTCACAGCAAAAAAGGGCTGGGAACTATGGTGAGTTTACGTAGCGGCATCAAAACTAACTATCAGGGCATTATGTACACATAGAGCACTGAGAGCATCAGTTGCCTTGTTTAGGTTTCGTCCCCACACCAACACCCCTGGCGAGCTGCAGTGTAGCAATGGAGAAAGGGGGGAAACTTACACTATGTCCCACGCATACACACACACATTAGCAAGTATACACACTCGTAAGCAAGCAGGAAAAGACTTGGAATATATCCCCATGAACAGGTAACAGCGGTTCTGACCTGCAGTGTCCCAGAGTGCTAGCTCCACCAGTTTTCCGTCCACTTCAATGTCAGACACGTAGTTCTCAAAGACTGTCGGAATGTACTTGTCAGGAAACTCGTCTTTGGTGAAGGCAAAGAGCAGACACGTCTTCCCGCACGCACCGTCTCCCACTATCACCAGTTTTCTCCGGATAGCTGCCATATCTGTGCGGTAGGGAGGGGGACGAGAGAGAGGGAGAATTGAACGAGAGAAAAAGGGGGAGCCGTTGCGGGCCGGTGATTTTTCTAGGGACGAAGCTCCTACAATCACTGGTGGCTACGCCACGCACGCGAGCCAATACACTGTTGCTGTTCGTTCCTTGTGGACGTCACGAACAAAGGGCAAGCATGCCGACTGCTGGATCGAAAAAGACCATGCCGCTCACCTACTCAAGGACTGACTTATTCCGATCTCTTCCTCCTTCAGTCTGAGTTGCTGTTGCACCTCTTCCTTCCCCTTTTCTAGCTGCCTCTTTGTGATCGATTGCCGGCCTCTGAGGAGAAAATGTGTGTGGCTCAGCCGGCCGGCCTAGCGCGGGCCGCTTATAGAGGCCTACGTGATTTCCGCTTTTCTCTACAGCCGGACGCGGAAACGCTGATTGTTAGTTCCGTCCGTTCTATTTTTAGTAACACTCGACTACCTATATTTAGCGTCGAAAGACTTGGAGTGGCGCATGCGTATTGAGAGTGAGCGAAGTTGTCCGGATAAGATTACGGAAAATTACTGCGAATCGTTAGGGTGGGTGATCCTTGGGACGGGAAGAACCTGCGACGAGAAGTCTGAGGGGCCAGTGGCGGAGCTAGTCGAGTCGAGGGAGCCGGAGAGACAACGTGAGTTTACCTGGGGCCTGTTTCGTGACGGGGAAAGCGGCACGCGGCTCGGAAACTGGCATAGATAGTGCCGGTTTACTCTCTACAGGGCTAGGCTGGGCGCACCCGCTATATGGCGTAGATGTTTCCCAACCCGCGCTTTTCGGTGTACTCGGCACTGCACTGCAGCACGACCAGTCTATGGCGACAGAGCGAGAGCCTCGACGAGCGATGCTGGCAAAGTCCACCCAACCATGTGGGAGGCAATGCGGGTGTGTGTGTATTACTCTAGCCCCGTATTACCTGCGGTCCTCCGTTTCCCTACCCTCCGCCTGTGGATATGCGTGTGTACTGGTAGGTAGAGTTTGTACAGCCCTCTCCCCCCACTTCACGGGGCAGTTTATTAGACATGCCAACAGCATGCAACTTGCCGGGTATTGTGCTAAGAACCACGTTTGCTTCCAATCGCATGAATATCAGTTAAAGATGCATTCATTACCCTAGCCAATACCCCCAAAACCCCCTTTCCTCTCTCTCTCTCTCTCTCTCTCTCTCCTTTTTGGTTGCAACGCTAGCAATGCGCTTTTTTCAGTGTGTGCCCAAGAACCCCATATTTAGTTGGTTTTTTTACATTGTGTGTTCAGGCAATTCTGGAGGCATAACGAGACCGTATGCATGTAGCGTTTATCCCACTTTCCTCCTGCTTCCATCTTGCCACTCTAGCCAACACAGGCTTACGGAGAGTAACCGTGGGACAAATTACATAGAACTGGAGGCTTGTCCCTTGAGATATGGGCCTACACTATATTGTTATCCTAATGCAAATTTCGGGGGTATTTTCGCGATAGGAGTGTATTGTGTTGTGTATTCCAACTGCATGCAGTGGCTGTTACATAAGAGATGGTGTACTACTGTGCCACACCCCTGTGTAGTTACTATATATTATACCCACGACTAATTGCTCTCCTCTACAAAAGTGGGGCTGAAGTGCTGACATGCTCTCTAGTGTAACTGTAGTTACATTGATGTTCTTCCACTTGCTCGGTACACCTTTTCTCATGCTCCGTCGCGACTTTGACTATTGTGGCCCTATACCCATATTTTTGCCCTGTAACCTTACGTATTATTATAGGAGACCCCCTGTGAAGTGGCTTTTTTTCAAGGGTTTTAAATTGCACGCAAGGACTTTTCGTGAGGGATAAAAAAGTGTCCTCATTTCAGGGATGCCGTGAGAGGAGGGGTTCTGATGTGTGTGCATGTACATCATGTAGATGGTGTACACAGATGTGTAGGCAATTTGCTCTTGCTGTGGTCTACAAATTGCACCGAGAAGTGTCTAGAGAACATGTTTTGATTCGTGGTCGGCGTGCTCTAATTAGATTACATCCTCCACTGCATACCACATCACAATTCTAGTGCAATGAAGAAGTTTTGATCTGTTCACTGCTCCATATTTTTATGCGCATGCACACGTTTTTATCCCTTCTCCCTGTATTTTCTGCGTATGCGCACGTTTTTCACACTGCTCCTTTTATTTTCTACCCGAAATAGTTGGCTTTTCCTGGAATCAGCTTATATTGTAAGAAAGAGCGAAGAGAGGTAAGAGGAGGGAGAGATGGAAAGCGAGCATAGAATTGCGTTTTGGAGGGAGGGGGGTTGTCAAGACTGTATTTCAGTGGAAGCAGAGTGATTGCTTTTTGATTGCCCCCCACTCCGGTACTGTCCACACGTGTGCTGTAATTGAACCCATAGTTAGTGGGTTCAACTCTCAGCATGGTGCTGTATAAACCTTGGGCGACTGTTCTTGCTTGCAGCTACATATATAGCTGCGAAGGGTGAAATACCGCCCAGGCCTACAACAGTAAAATTATTGGGAAGTGATGCGAACCTGCCTAAATTCTCCAATCTTAGAAACTCTTCACTCGGTTTAAGTGCTCGTGACCTGTCACGTGCACATTGACTCACTGAAAATGCATTTGCCTTTACTCATCCAACGTTTGCCTGTGTTTATGTTTATCAGAGAAGTTTAGGACGCAGTGTAGGAAGGAAATGGTGTGTCCTATTACACAAGGTTGTGTTATGGTGTAAGACGCACATTCTGATCTATACTTTATCATGTGTTACACCTCTCCCTCCTCTTCCCTCTTCCTATGACACGGTACCCTACACTTTCCCTTACAAGGGTATGTAGGTCTTCCTGCCTCAGTGTATAGGCAAGTTGACAGTGTTTAGGGTGTGTTAGTTCCAATTACACAGGGTGTGTGTATGTACATCCCTCCCCACTGTGTACTGTGGGGGGTTCTCCTCCAGTAGGAAATGGATGATGTAATGGTGTCGCTGGTCCACTGGAAGTGTATGGAGGCAATGATGTAATGCCATAAAGTGATATATGTGCTCTGTTGGGTTTCTTTTGGCACTGGTCGCAGTAAAACCTGCAGTGTGGTATGTGTGTGTGTGTGCACGGTGGGCTCTAAAAGGAGTGTTTGCGTGGATCACTAACCTATTGTAGGAAGGCTATAAAGCACTAGGAGAATGTAAGACAAACGAGAGAGATTAAGAGAAATGCACTGACCTCTCTCTCCCCCCCTCTCCTGCTTGCATGCACACTCAAAGAGCCTCCTGAAATATGTTGTACAAACTGATGCAAGTGTATACAGACTTTGTCTATGCCTATTTTTGTCAACTTTCAGTGAAAGTTTTGTCCAACTTCTCATTTATTTTCCATTCCCACACGAGCTCTGTTTTCCACCACAGCCACCGAGCCTCCTTGTGTTGTGTTTCAATGGCGCCAGGCTCCTCATGCTGTAGCCTGTATCTTTGTAGACCGACCTCCTCTCCCCCTCTCCCCCTCTCCCCATCCGTCTCTCCCTATACCTCACTCCCTCCTGTTCTGATCTCACACACTCAAACACTCAATGTCTACATGTAGATGGTCCTCTCTTCTTTCTTCTCCCCTCCCTCCCTCCCTACCTCCCTACCTGTACATGAATTAGTTATTAATTTCAAATGCTTAATAAACAGGGGGTACGGTTTCTGACATTCTTGGGATGCTTCTCACAAATGGAATGGTCGCACTGAGTATCTGTTAGGGACTAGAGGTGTCTTACTATTTGATACCGTCCTCCTTGTATATATAGACTGGACCACCAGGTTTGGTTATGAGCTATAGTTGTTTGTTATCAAGGTATATACAGTACCACGTGACTCAGTCAGTATATTCATAATGGTGAAATTGCTTTTGCCGATCTAATCCCCGAATTGTGAGGGCAACATGTATTGCGTGTGTAGGAGAAAGCTCTGTAGGGTTTTACTCCTTTTCCCCCCAGAAGCCGAGGCAGTAAAAGGGTTTCTTAGCATAATATCCGTCTGTGTGTGTGTGTGTGTGGGAGAGGGTTGTACATTAGGACAAAAAAACCAGACCACTTTGTTAAATTTTCACTGAAAATGTAACAAAGTAGTGAAAATTTGTCGCCATGCTGTATAATACTGCTGCGTACATATGTACATCTACTGAAACTCTCTTCCTTCCTTCCTAATCCTCTTCTCCTCTGTATATACAGACTACAACCTGTGGGTACACATACACAGAAAGTGTTGAGAAATGGCAAGCATCAGGAAGAAGTTAGTCATCGTCGGAGACGGAGCGTGCGGGAAGACCTGTCTCCTCATTGTGTTCTCCAAGGATCAATTCCCCGAGGTGTACGTACCCACCGTGTTCGAGAACTACGTGGCGGACATCGAGGTGGACGGAAAATGTGTGGAACTGGCTCTCTGGGATACCGCAGGTAAAGTATGGGGGCTTAGAGGACTCTTTAAAAGAGACGGAACACTCAGTGTCGACGCCTTGCTTTCTCTAAATAAAGAACACCTCTCGTTCCCTTCCTAATACCTGAATACGGGAGAATTCTGTATTCGTTTTTTGTTCCATTCAGTTTTACGTAGTCTATGAATGAAGGACACCTTTCTGTCCCAGTGTGTGTGTGTGTGACTGCTTTCGCTCCTGCTCTCTCACCCTCTCTTCTTTCTCATCTCTCCTCCTCCCTCAGGCCAGGAAGACTACGATCGCCTGCGTCCCCTCTCTTACCCCGACACAGACGTCATTCTCATGTGTTTCTCCATCGATAGTCCCGATAGCCTCGAGAACATCCCCGAGAAATGGACGCCGGAGGTCCGGCATTTCTGCCCCACCGTGCCCATCGTCCTCGTCGGGAACAAGAAAGATCTTCGCTACGACGACCAGATGCGCCGGGAGTTAGCCAAGGCGAAGCAGGAGCCCGTCAAGACGGAAGACGGACGAGCAATGGCGGAAAAGATCGGCGCCTTTGCCTACCTCGAGTGTTCTGCGAAGCTCAACGAGGGTGTTAGAGAGGTTTTCGAGACGGCGACGCGAGCGGCGCTCCAGACAAAGAAAAAGCGGGGGAAATTCTGCAGCATTCTCTGAGAAGAAGCAGCATCTTGCCACCTCACCTAAGTTTTCCCCCGAGCTCGATATATACTCTTTGGACGTTTCGCACGCCTCTGTCTGTAAATTTAATCTACTATTTTATGATTGTATGCACTTAACGATGTAGTTTAAAACAGAATCCAGACTGTGTAGGTTCTCCGTTGCTAAATATAGCGTGCTTGTGCTAAAGATATCTTGGCCCATAGTTCTATATAATGCACATGCATGCACTGTACACAACTGAGTCAGTGGTTCTTTGCCGTAATGACACATGTACGGTTCCTTTGAATTGTGTATTCTTGTACACGCTTACAATCTCATCATGAATTTTTTTAATAGAACCAGTTTCCACCGAGACGTTTGTTATTGCTTGCATTATCATCTTGGGAGTTTTGATTGTTGTTCGTGTACATTTTGCTATGTTTTGGAAACACAGTATATTGGTGTGTTTCTTTGGGGTCCAGAGTGGAGGAGAGACTTTACTAATGAGGTTCAGCGATAGACGAGAGGGGGCTTTATTTAGAATGCTCGACCCCCTGATCTTGTGCTCCTCCGTTCCGGGACGGAATGCAGCACAGTCGCAAGACAATAATGAGCGGGTGTTACTCCAAGATTGACCGGGGGGCGTGCAGCTAGAAGCAGTCTAGCCCTCTCTCCACGCGTTCTCCACCGTAAAGAGGCGCTATTGGAAGAGGCGCTATTGGAAGAGGCGAGTCATGAGTGGCGGCGGGCCTCAGCAGGCAGCCGAGAGGCAGCTGGTGCAGGCTCTACGCGGAGACCTAAACCTCATCTGCAACGAGGCCAAGAAACGGTTCCCCGCGGTGCGGGAGGTAGGTGTATAGCTAGCTACTATGGTCCGGAGTGGCAAATCAATGGTTTCGACCGCCACAAGGACCAGCTCGTCTGGATTCTATATAAAGCGGCATTCTCGTTGAATGACTGCTCATAACCCAGCAACCTACCTCTACATTGAAAAGTCTTAGCTAGTTAGAGCACTGCCAGATTGAGAATAGAGTCATGGATGACGTGAACAGGCAGACAGAGATGTTAGTTTGGGTCTCTTCTCCCCCCACAGTCTGCCGAAAGAGGCTCAATGAAGCTGAAAACACTATCAGAATCCCCTGGCTTCTCCATGAAAGGTGCATACTGCATTGTAAGGGTCATAATATGGGACCGCTGTGTATTGAAGCATGATATGGTGGCTGATTGTATGGGTTATGGAGTTGGTCCACTTGATGAGTGTGTGTACCAATGTATGGGACTATAATGTAGGGCCAGCAATGGAGAAGGCTGGGCACACTTGGCATACACGTGAAGCATTGTGTAGGCAGAGTTTGCAGAGCTGTACTGGTGAATGGAGGGGCACATTTGATACATATCGCTGTCACACAGTATATACACCTACACACTCTCTCAAGGCCGGACTATAAAGAACAAAAATGCCAGGTGTTCTCTATAATAATGTAAATGCACTTTAGCATCCACGATATTGCACACTCCGACATTAACAGTGATGGGATTAATAGTTCTGATTATGGTAAAAGTTTAGTCTCGTTGCTATAGACTGTACCACATGAACCCTACAGTTATACATAGTGCAATTGACAAAATGTCTGTTTTAGTCTCGCCTCTTTCCCCCCCCCTCGACTCATCTGAAAAAGCTCTCGCAGACACTGACGACGTCGTTCATCCACTACTGTTTGCGGCGGAGACAAAGAACCCTCGCATCGTCCAAATCTCGCTCACCTCTCTCCAGAAACTGATGCAGTACAAGGCAATCCCTCAGGTCGGTTCACACAATCTATAATCCTATAGGTTGGTTCAAATACGCTACAAAAATCAATCTCGTATACATGTCCAATAATGCCACACACAATCCTAAGAGGTCTAATCCTAGCCTCAGCCTTCAATTAAGCGAGCTCATACATACTTACTTAGTTTTTTCTTGCTGTCTACTGCTGCCTGTTTTGCAGTTTTTGAGAAGTCGTTTATGAACGCAAAGTTTCAACGCAAAGTTTATTATTATGAAACTGGAAACCGAAAATTGTTTTGTTACTTTCGCTGCTTGAGAGTCATCCTCAGAGTTTTCATACGATATTCGTCTTTGCTACCCAATTTGTGCAAATGTTTTATTAAACATTTCCAACTTCAGCAGTGAATATACATGTGCCGTAGAGAGAGAGAGAGAGAGAGAGAGAGAGAGAGAGAGAGTGGGTGTGTTCTTTGCTGTACTTTTTTCCCCAGAAAAGTGTTGAGTCAATAGTGGCAACTCTAAAGGTCCTGATGGAGTCGCAGATCGAAGAACTGAAGATCCTCCAGACAATTCTACTGCTGGTCACCTCCATGAATATCGTTAGGGGGAGGTCCCTGTCCAAGGTGGGCTGATTGTCATGTGACCAAGACCACACCCACATAATGAATCATTAGAGCAGTTTCATGATCGAAATTATTATGAGATCGGCACAATAAAAGAAATTGGTTACGTATGTACAGGTCCTGGAGTTGTGCTTCAAGCTCTACTCATCTCGAGACTCCAGTGTCCACAGCACGGCGGGCGTGGCCATCCGGCAGATCGTCACCGCCCTGTTTGAGCGGGTGTCGGCCGTCTCTGCTAAGGGAGACCTCGTCAGTGAGGAGGGGGAGGGTGAGGAGGATGAGGTGGGAGGGCCGAAGAAGGAGAAGGATTTGTCCAGGGAGGCTGGGGATGCTTACCTTCTCTTCCAGGTATATAGGCATGTGGTACATCTTATTCTATGCAAGTTCGATTAAATTGGTACTATTACTTCATTACATCATCATGACATCAATATATTGTCATGATATCAGGGCAGCATGAAGCAGTGAACATAATATTTTGAACACTGATCACCCCCCATACAAATGGTGTGCAGTATGACGACATATACTGATGCAGTAACTCTTTCTTCACTGCAGGACTTGTGTTTCTTGACCAACGGAGACCCTCCAGCCTGGCTACCCAACACCCTTGAACTGGAGCTGTCACTAGGACTGGAGCTCCTGGAGACTGTCCTCAGGGAGTACCCTCAGATCTTCATGAAGGTCAGTGAGGGAGGGAGGGAGGGAGGGAGGGAGAGAGAAAGTTAACTTGTGGGGAAGGAAGAGAGGAGGGAGAGAGGGAAGTTAAATCAGAGGAGACCTTTCTTTTCTTAACATCTTTTTGGCTCTGCATTGTACGCATCTTCTATTACTTACAGTTTATCTGTCCTCATTGACATACAATACTAGCCTGTACCTGCAATATTAGAAGTCGTTTCCAAAACATTTACTGTTCAACTTTTTTTTTCTTCTACCGTATGTCTCGTAACCAATGGACAACATGAAACAGTGCACATCAAAATTCTCTCCTCTTTCTCATTTTTCCCTTGCACCTCCCCACAGGAGAAGGTTTTCAATCTCCTGCTGACGGAGAGGATCTGCCCCCTCATCATCAAACTCTTCTCCCCCAGTTCCAAATATCGCCACTCACCTCCGGCAAACTCCATGTCACCCAACGACAAACCGACCTTTGCCCTCTCCGTCCGACTACTGAGGATCCTGAGTGTCCTCATTAGAGAATTCTACACCAGTCTGGTGGGTGTGGCTTAGTGAGTGTCCTGATTAGAGAATCGGTGGGTGTGGCTTAGTGCTCATTAGCTAATTCTATACCAGTCTGGTGGGTGTGGCTTATTGGGATGGTGGGTGTGGTTTCCTTTAGAGGGTAGTGGGTGTGGCTTAGTTGACTTGTGGGTGTGAAGCCTAATCCTAATGTACCTATCTGTACTACCATACTATCGTACTATATACCATATGTACTACTGTGATTATTGTACAATTGTGTGTGGCTTTTCCTGCTCCCCACTTCCCTGTGTCTCTTTCACAAGGTTGATCTTTCCTTCCTCCCCTCACACAGATCACACAATGTGAGATATTCCTCTCAATGTTGGTGAGGTTTCTGGACAGTGACAAGCCGCTGTGGCAGAGGACGCTGGCTATGGAGGTCCTTCACTCCTTCACCAACCACCCTCTCCTGCTCAGGTCAGCCAATGTACTGTACTGTACTGTTACTCCAGAAATGTTGGCGAAATTCATGTCTTTGCCATTTGAATACACACACTAGTGGTTTACATAGTGGTTTGCTTGCAAAGTGGCAAAGAAAGAAAGGTTGGAGCGGGATAAGGAAGAAGATGAATGGTTGGAGCAAGATAAAGGGAAGGGAGGAAGGTTTGAGCGAGATAAAGGGAAGCAAAGATCTATGTTCATAGAGGCTCCACATCCTTTCCGCAGTTGTATGACTGTACATATTATAGAGTTTACTCTTCGTCTCCCCCCAGGTCCTTCTGTGAGTACTACGACATGCAGGAACACTCTTCTAGAATTTTCAGCGACATCATCAACGCTGTCGGAGGTTTCATCCAATCATATCTCACCTCCGTCCCGGCCGCCTCGGTCCAGCTGCCGTTCGGGATTACATCGTCGGGCGGCGGTGCTATAAATAGTAGCACGGGTCACGTGACATCTCTGCCGACTCTGAGCGGTCGTCATGTGCACATGTTCACCATAAGAGGGACTGTAATTCAAGTGGAGGCACTTCCTCCAAACTCGCACCACAAACAAGCTTTGTGAGTTACATATGTATACACACTTAAGGGACCTTTTCATGTGCCTGTAATTGTTTATTTTGGGAAGGAGTGGGGATAAGGGAAAGGGTGACAGACAGTGAAATGAGATAGTGTGGCTATTCCACACTCCAATAGTCAAAAGGAATGGTTGGTTTGTCATTATTTTATGTACATGCCTGCAAGATACGTATGTCACTCTCCTCTCTCTCCTCTCTTCTTCTCTAACAGTCTGGAGATGCTGGATAAGAGCGAGGTTCCCGTCATCTCCGAGGGGTACACCCTGGTGGTTGCCATGACGGCACTGATTGACGCGGTAAAGAGTGTGTCCCTGGTCGTTACCGACGAGGTGAAGGCAAAGAAGCATGTGGCACAGTTCCTACATCGCTCCCCTAGTCCAGGTATTCACTGTTTCATTTCGCGTCGACGTCATTTGTTTTATTCAGTCTCATTTTTAGCTTTGTCCCCAGGTTCTCCCTCTCGCACAATTTACCACTTATATACAACAAGTGTAGTAACCTCAGTCCTAAAGTATTAAGCGTGGGGGTGTCAACCTAACCCCAGTTGAAATGCAAAGCCGTGACAGCATCATAAACCCTTGCAATTGCTCATACTATCCTATCTCTGCGTGACTATGTTTGTCTTTACTCCATCCACCATGTGTGTGTGTGACTGTCCCTATATTATCCCGCCACAGGAGGGGACGTGAAGGAGATGATGCTGAAGTCGTCCTGGTCTGGAGTACTGGCCTCTCTGGCTCTCCTCCTGGACTCTTGGTTGGTATAGCTTCGTCTGTTGTGGTAGCTCTTGGCACCTAGTGGTAGGCTAGCATATACTACAGCCAGTGGTATTGCTGTTATGTTGATGATTTGGTCTGTGATTGTAAGCCTAAATTTGTGTTTGGTGAAATGCAATTTTCACGAGTTTGAAAGACTGCATACCCCATATTCAATTACTCCCACTACCGTAATTGCAACGTGACGATCTACAGAGTTTTTCATGAAAGTGGTACTCTGTTTTTGTTACCTAGACCTATATATACTGCATTTCTTCCACCTCTCTCTCCTGCTGCAGTAATGACGAGTACACCGCCAGACTGATCCTCCAGTGCTCCCACAAGTTCATCCAACTGTGTGGACTCATGTCCATGACAGTTCCCCGTGACGCATTCCTCACGGCTCTCTGCAAATCCTGTCTCCCTCCTCGATTCACTCTCAGTCTCATAACGTCGCATCGGACCACGCGATCGTCGTCTTCCGCAGCTGCTATGGCACAGGAGGCCTCGGAGAAGAAAGGGGGATTGGAGGGGGACCCTGTGATTATTAGGGGAGGGGGCGAGGGGGCCGCCGGGGGGTCGAGGAAGAAATTGGCGTTCTCCCAGCCGGGGGAGGGGGCAGTGAGTGGGGGGAGTGTGGGAGGAGGGGGAGAGGGGGGAGGAGGGAAAGCCACGACGCCTGTTTCAGGACAGAAAGGGATGCAGTCAGCTTTGGTGAGCGTTAATTGGATTTTCTACTTGTAACAAGTCGTTTTATTTCCTGCAAAGTGACTGCAAAAATGGAAAAATAGACTAACATCCATTTTTACGTCACCTCCCGTAATAAGGTTTTCATCTCATTCTTTTTCTTCTCTCCGCTGTCGATCTGCAGGTAACAGTAAAGAACCTCCAGTGTACAGGTCAACTCCTAAAGATCATCAGTGACCATGGCAACCTGCTGGATACCGCGTGGCTCTTGGTCCTCACTGCTGTACAGGTTAGGACCCCTCTTTCCTTCCTTATCCCTCCCTTACTCCCTCTCTAGTTAGATTCCTGCTTTATACTAAGGAGTAGCCTCGAGTTCCCTGTCAGTTTTTTGCGAGGGAGGGAAAAAGGAAAAAGGGCCTGGGAACCACTCTAACTGAGGAGATGCTTGGGTCCTTTGTCTTGTATATTCTCGTCCTCCCTCTTTCCCACCTTTTCATCCCATACTCCATTAATTTACACATCAGTTCATTTTTTCAATTCCACAGCACATCAAGGAGGTGTTTGGCCTGAGTCAGATCCAGTCTCAGACTCTGCTAGAAAACTCCTCTCTGGTATGTAATATCACACACACACACACACACTACCACAGTCATTCATATTGATGATAGCAAAATTCTGCACCACGGAGAGTGATTATTGTGGTTCTTATATTATTACCGTATGTGTTTGGCTGGCGTCTATTGCTTTCTTCCCCAGTCTCTGGTGAATGTTGAGAAAAAGAGCGAGGTATCCGCTGTTGTTGACAAACTCAACTCTCTCTTCAAAAACACCAAGTAAGCAACCCACTATGAATCTTGTATATATGGGGGAAGAGGTTGTTGTGGCGACATATTGTTTTTTTTGCACTGTCATTGATTTTCTACCCCCCTATATTACCTGGCATTGCACGGGGGAGGCAGACAGGGAGTGTGTTTGTGCTGCATAACTCTGTTTTATGCCATGTATGTATGCTCTGTAAATGTACATGCATCTAGAAAGCTCTCCGGCGCCAGTCTGGATCACCTGATATCGGCTCTCTGTCAGCTATCGTTGGATGAAGTCTCCTCCTCTCCCAACAGAGTAAGCAAGTATGCACATTGCTCTTGTTTTGTGGCAAAAAAAGCCTGTACATGTGAGAGTGCATAATAATGAAATATTTGCAGGAGCCGAGTTTGTTTGCGATGACATCATTGCTGGAGACCGGTGTGGCAAATCTGGAGAGAATTGACCTTATTTGGCCTCCCATCACATCACACTTATCGAGGTATGAACTGTAGGGTATATGGCACTGAACTAGCATATGTGTGTGTCACAGTGGTGACCTATTGTAATTATCGTTGTACGAGGTGCACTTTGTAACTGTTCGAGTAAATAAATTCGGCTCCTGCAAACAATCAAAAGCTAATGCTAGGTAGGATGGGGGCTAGTGGTGCTACATTCTCTTGTTCCCACTGTCTTTCTTCTGCCAGGTGTGTTCGTCAGCGAGGCTACTCTGAGAGGGTTCGCAGATGGACTCTCCTACCTCCCTCATCCGCTCCGCCTCCCCTCGCCAAAAACAGGTCCCTTATCTTCTCTCTTCCCTCCTATTTGGCCCGTCTCTTTATCTCTACTTGCATGACTCCCTCTACTCTCCTCTTCAATCCCCTTCATTAGGCCACCAAACTGGCGAAACCACCATTCATTTATCTCTTTTCCTCCTCTTCTATGTCCACAAGTTTCAAACAATAAACATGACTGCGTGCGTATATACGCATTGAAATTTAGTATGTGCAAACATGATTGCTTCACCATAATAGTCGTCCCATATTTACTGCACCACGAGTCACGAGCT